CAAAGTCTTGTTCTGGTGGCACCGGTGGTATGGGAGGTCGATGCAGAGATCGAGCGGGCGTTACGCACCGACCCAAGTCCTCCACAGTGTCCAGTGGGTCGGACGTACGTTCCGCTCGAGGTACGCGATCGCCTCATTTATTGGGCTCATACGTCCCCCTCCTCTGGACATCCAGGTATCGCCGGACAGTTCACTGCCTTAGCACTAAGTACTGGTGGCCAACATTAGCCAGGGATGTGAGGGTTTATGTCTCCTCCTGTTCGGTGTGTGCACAGTGTAAGGCGCCCAGACATTTGCCCAGGGGTAAGCTACAACCCCTGCCCGTTCCACAACGACCCTGGTCCCCACCTCTCGGTGGACTTTGTTACAGACCTTCCCCCCTCACAGGGGAATACTACCATCCTGGTCGTTGTGGATCGGTTCTCGAAGGCCTGTCGTCTCCTTCCCATGCCGGGTCTCCCTACTGCCCTACAGACCGCTGAGGCTCTGTTTACCCATGTCTTCCGGCATTACGGGGTACCCGAGGATATAGTGTCTGATCGAGGCCCCCAGTTCACCTCCAGAGTGTGGAGAGCCTTTATGGAACGGTTGGGGGTTTCGGTGAGCCTTAACTCGGGTTACCACCCGGAGAGTAATGGGCAGGTTGAACGTGTCAACCAGGATGTGGGTAGGTTTCTGAGGTCTTATTGCCAGGGCCGGCCGGAGGAGTGGGCGAGATACGTTCCGTGGGCCGAGACATGGAACGCTGCCCATGTTCATCTGCAGCAGGCCATCCGTCGGCATAAGACGAGCGCCGATCTCCACCGCAGTGAGGGGCCTGTATACGCACCTGGAGATCGAGTCTGGCTCTCGACCAGAAACCTGCCCCTCCGCCTGCCCTGCCGGAAGCTGGGTCGGCGGTTTGTGGGGCCATTCAAAGTCCTGAGGAGGTTGAACGAGGTGTGTTACAGGTTAGAACTGCCTATTGATTACAGGAATATTAACCCCTCGTTCCATGTGTCTCTCCTCAGGCCGGTGGTAGCTGGTCCACTCCAGGACTATGAGATAGAGGAGACTCCTCCGCCCCCGTTGGACATCGAGGGGGCTCCGGCGTACACTGTGAGGTCCATCCTTGATTCGAGACGCCGGATGGGGGGTCTCCAATATCTCGTGGAGTGGGAGGGGTACGGCCCGGAGGAGCGGTGCTGGGTGCCGAGGAGGGACATATTAGACCTGTCCCTGCTGACCGAGTTCCATCGGGGTCATCCTACGCGCCCTGCTCCGCGTCGTCCTGGTCGTCCCCGAGGCCGGGATCGGCGCACGGCTGGAGCCGCGCGTCAAGGGGGGGGTACTGTCACGGTTTCGGCCGAGGCTGCTCCTCCTCCTTGTTCGGGCAGGCTTCGGCGGTCGTCGTCCCCGGAGTACTAGCTACCACCGTTCGATGTTTCATGTTTGTTTGGTTTTGTCTCTTTGTACACCTGTCCCTTGTTAGTGTTTGATTTGGTTTCCTATTTAGTTATCGTGGTTGGGTCAGGGTTATGTGTGATTGGTTATTGTCTAGCTGTTGCTCTCGTTATTACTCCGTGTTTTGTTGTTTTCGAGAGTCCGCACTGTGTGCGCTATTGTCTTTTTACGCACGTTGTATTTTGTGCGTAATTTGTATTTTGCCTCCCGGTTGGGTTGGCTGTTCGCCTGTTTGGTGCTGACTTCATTTACTAAAGTCTGTTCACGTACGCCCGTGTTTCCTGCGCTTGATTTCCACACCGCATCTACACTCAGCTACTGACAACCCCACTTTCAAGAATTGCATTTTTCCCTTTATTCAGATTACAACCTCTGACTTTCGGTTATTTGAAAATGAAATAATCTCCAAAATATCGCTATTTTTAAAACAAGCCATAGAAAGTTGGTTGCATTTTCAGTTTAATCCACCAGAAAATACAACACATATAACACATATTATGGTTAAATTAAAATATACTAATTGATAAAAAAAACTATTTTGGGGAATAAAAAAAAGTGGAGTTATGTCACACAAGCAGCTAACAAAAATATATGGAAATGTCTGCTCTACTCAGAATTACAACCAACTAATTGCAGCATTACTGCAAAAACGGAAGAGGCAAGTGGAAGGGGGAGAAAGTAAGGTACTTGTCTGTCGGCCCTGCATTAAAGACCGAAATTGGCTAAAGAAAATTCTGATAAATAAAAAAGTATACCAGTTTCATTTAAGGACCAACATTTTTTACAGCTGTGCCATATAGATTACAAAATAGTTGGGAAGAGATTTTCGACGTACCGATTCCATGGCATATGGTTTATGAACTGATACACAAAACAATGCTGGATTCATAACGTAGTTTTTCTATTTAAATTATTATACAAAATTCTTGCAACCAATAGAACGTTAAATATATGGGGGATACAATCTATGCGGATTTTGCTGCGAAGAGATCATTAGATCATTTGTTTTTGTGCTGTCCTTATGTAACTTGTTTTTGGTCGCAAGTTCAGGAATGGCTGAAGAATTGCAACATTTACCTGGAGCTAACTCTATAAATAGCACTGCTGGGTGATTTTAAAAAGTCATAGTCAATCGATCAATAATATAATAATACTCTTGGGAAAAATGTTTTATCTTTAATTTACAATCTGTAGAATCTATGAGAATATAAAGGTTCCGAACATTTGTGAAAAAAAAAGAAGAAGAAAAAACGACTCTGTGGTGTGAAGACGTATGCAATCAAGACATCTTTGTTTTTTATTTGTAATTAATTAGGAACATTTTCTATAACTTTCTTTTCACATAGAAAATGTGGAGTCTGTTGTGTAGATCACTAGGAAAAAAATAAAATAATTTAATGCCTTTTTAGATTTAATTTGAAGGCAGCAAAATGTGATGACTGTGCAAGCGGTGTGTAGACTTTCACTAGGCTATAGGCACTGGATAACAGTGCATAGTGTTTTGTAAGATGTATTAATCGTTGCAATTTAATATTTTTTAACATATGCCCTTTTTCTTCTTGCATGCATTATAGATAAAGACATTTATTACGCCATATTTGTTTGATGAAAGATAAGTTTGGCTTTTAATTTGTGAATGAAGTCAGCATAGATAAATTCATTTTTGTTCATTTAATCATTTTTACTTAAGCAGATTTAAAATAAGCTTAATGCTCTTTCAATATTATTATTTTTGCATTTCTGTAACTGTTACTAAAATAAAATAATAAATATGCAATATGTATGTCAAATATGGACTATTTTCAGTTGTAACAACCTGTAATTTTCCAAAACCTCCACTAGATGGGAATGTTGGCTAAATTCTGAATTGTTCATGTAACAGTATCGCTTCCGTCTCTCTCCTTGCCCCAACCTGGGCTCGAACCAGGGACCCTCTGAACACATCGACAGTCACCCACGAAGCATCGTTACCCGTCGCTCCACAAAAGCCACGCCTCTTGCAGAGCAAGGGAAACAACAACTACTTCAAGGTCTGAGCGAGTGACGTCACCATTAACAAGCCGTTTCACACCATTACATTCAGAAAATTCAGAGATTCCCTCTGTTACCCTACTTACCTGAAATGAGATAGAAGACCAGGACCTACCTGAGGGGAGATGGAAGACCAGGACCTACCTGAAGGGAGACCAGGACCTACCTGAGGGGAGACCAGGACCTACCTGAAGGGAGATAGAAGACCAGGACCTACCTGAGGGGAGACCAGGACCTACCTGAAGGGAGATGGAAGACCAGGACCTACCTGAGGGGAGACCAGGACCTACCTGAAGGGAGATAGAAGACCAGGACCTACCTGAGGGGAGACCAGGACCTACCTGAAGGGAGACCAGGACCTACCTGAAGGGAGATAGAAGACCAGGACCTACCTGAGGGGAGACCAGGACCTACCTGAAGGGAGATAGAAGACCAGGACCTACCTGAAGGGAGATAGAAGACCAGGACCTACCTGAGGGGAGACCAGGACCTACCTGAAGGGAGATAGAAGACCAGGACCTACCTGAAGGGAGACCAGGACCTACCTGAAGGGAGATAGAAGACCAGGACCTACCTGAAGGGAGATAGAAGACCAGGACCTACCTGAGGGGAGATAGAAGACCAGGACCTACCTGAGGGGAGACCAGGACCTACCTGAAGGGAGACCAGGACCTACCTGAAGGGAGATAGAAGACCAGGACCTACCTGAAGGGAGATAGAAGACCAGGACCTACCTGAGGGGAGATAGAAGACCAGGACCTACCTGAGGGGAGACCAGGACCTACCTGAGGGGAGACCAGGACCTACCTGAAGGGAGATAGAAGACCAGGACCTACCTGAGGGGAGACCAGGACCTACCTGAAGGGAGATAGAAGACCAGGACCTACCTGAAGGGAGACCAGGACCTACCTGAAGGGAGATAGAAGACCAGGACCTACCTGAAGGGAGATAGAAGACCAGGACCTACCTGAGGGGAGATAGAAGACCAGGACCTACCTGAGGGGAGACCAGGACCTACCTGAAGGGAGACCAGGACCTACCTGAAGGGAGATAGAAGACCAGGACCTACCTGAAGGGAGATAGAAGACCAGGACCTACCTGAGGGGAGACCAGGACCTACCTGAAGGGAGACCAGGACCTACCTGAAGGGAGATAGAAGACCAGGACCTACCTGAGGGGAGACCAGGACCTACCTGAAGGGAGATAGAAGACCAGGACCTACCTGAAGGGAGATAGAAGACCAGGACCTACTTGAGGGGAGACCAGGACCTACCTGAAGGGAGATAGAAGACCAGGACCTACCTGAAGGGAGATAGAAGACCAGGACCTACCTGAGGGGAGACCAGGACCTACCTGAAGGGAGATAGAAGACCAGGACCTACCTGAAGGGAGATAGAAGACCAGGACCTACCTGCAGGGAGATAGAAGACCAGGACCTACCTGAGGGGAGACCAGGACCTACCTGAAGGGAGATAGAAGACCAGGACCTACCTGAGGGGAGACCAGGACCTACCTGAAGGGGAGATAGAAGACCAGGACCTACCTGAGGGGAGAGCAGGACCTACCTGAGGGGAGACCGAAGACCAGGACCTACCTGAGGGGAGACCGAAGACCAGGACCTACCTGAGGGGAGACCAGGACCTACCTGAGGGGAGACTGAAGACCAGGACCTACCTGAGGGGAGACCAGGACCTACCTGAAAGGAGATAGAAGACCAGGACCTACCTGAGGGGAGATAGAAGACCAGGACGGTGAGACAGGAGATGAGCAGACAGGGGATGATCAGGTTGATGGTGTAGAAGAGAGGCAGTCGTCTGATGATGAAGAAGTATGTGATATCAGGGTAGATCTCATGACAGCAGTCGTACTTCTTGGTGTTGTATGTTCCCACTGCATTGATGATGGCCCACTCCCCACTCTCCCAGTAGTTGTTCAGATCCACAGTGTTCTAGGGAATAGAGATAAACCGTCCCACTCTATGAAGGCTTCATATGGCATACATAAAGGCTTCATAAGCACTGTGTAGATACAGTTGTTCAGATCCACTGTGTTTAGTGTCCCTTATGGGAAGATTGTCACACACTGCTGGCTCTGATCAGCTCTCAGTGTGGCTTGACAATGACAGCAATGGAGTTAGCAAGAACACAAACAGATCTGGGACCAGGCTAATGTATAAAACATAAACACTGTACATACACACTAGACACATAGACAATACTTACATTACCTTACCCGTGTCGTACACATCTTTTACAACATTTTTACAACAGTACCTGCTTGAGTGATTGATTGATTGATTGTTTGATTGATTGATTGATTGACTGACTGACTAACTGATTGATGCAACCCCATACCTCGATGCGTTCCAGGTCAATCTTAGCCTTGTCGTAAGTCCAGGAGCCAAACTTCATCTTACAGTTCTGCTGGTCGAAGGGGAAGAAGGTGACGTCTATAGAGCAGGAGGACTTATAGATGGCCGGGGGAACCCAGCGCACCTTCCCATTGTGGAACAGGTGGGCCTTGGTCATGTGGGTCACGGCGAACTCACCGTCCGCACTGGAGAGAGGAGAGCAGAACACAACAGAACAGAGATTACTGAAGCAATTGTACACGAGAGGGCGCCTTAACAACTTTTTTTAGCACGGCTGTGCTGCGGTCGTAGGTACGAGTCGACAGCCGAGTACCGTATATCATTGGCATCGTTTGCCATGCAAACCCTCTGGTTGTTAGTTGGATTGGCATTGTCAGTTCGGCCAGGTTGGTATGGGCATGCACAGCCATAGCCACGGGAAGTAGTGGTGCTGGAGGTGCTGGAGGTGCTGCAGGTGCTGCAGGTGCTGGAGGTGCTGCACCACTCCTAGTGCTGAGATGGTAAAACTGCAAGAATTTGTGTTGCAAAAAAAGTTAAATTTTTTATTTTTTTCATTACATTATTGATATAATTGACAATGGGATTGGGGTAGGGGAGAGAAAAACATGTTTTGGAAGCGGTGCGCTCATGATGGGCTCTTATCTATTCAGTTGTGGGCGTTTGGCACGCTCTGCTGTATGATAGACAGTTCAGTTTGAGTTGAGTCTCTCCCTCTCTGTCCCTCTCCCATAGGCGGCATGTTGAGTTTCAAGTTTGGGGAAACGGATTTTCACCATAAAAACACACCTTTATAATAAAACATTCCGTGCATCTGTCGTTGCATTTGCAGACGTATGTAAGATAGCCTACTATTCCTAATGTGATGAGTAGATTGGATAGTCATAATGAAGGCAAATATAACTCAATCGTAGTTCGCAAAAAAAAAAAAAACTGCAGTGTTCAATGCATGGCTGAGCACATGGTGGTGTATAGCAGGCCATAGGCTACTATCAGAATGGTTTCTTCTCCTTTCCTTTTGTGATTATAAACACATTTCATTCAATTCTACTGCACTTTATATGACTGGAGACATTAGCAGAATCATTTTTTTTAAACAACAAAAGTTACAGGGTAGTATAGGCTTCTAGGTTACAGCCGATTCTGATGAAACAGGTCAAGAAAGACGACCTTGTCTCCATTTAATCTAGGCCCATGATTCCGGAGACACTTGAAACCCTACTTCTTTAAGGAATACCTGGAATAGTATAAAGTAATCCTTCTTCCCCCACAAAAGGTATATATATATATATATATATATATATATATTTTTTTTAAAGGTGGTTGTACCACTGGCTATCATAAGTTGAATGCACCAATGTGTAAGTCGCTCTGGATAAGAGCGTCTGCTAAATGATGTAAATGTAAAAAGGGGACTGGTTGGCTTCGACTCTGTTTGCCTTTCACAAATGTCAAAATACCATCATGAGAAAAACATAGGCGTACCGTTTGGAAAGTAAAATGCCTACAGCTGAAAATAGAAGACTAATCTGTCTATAGAAGCAATTTTTAAAAATTTAATCAACAGCTTTTGAGGGATTCTGAGCGAACAGCACAGTTTTTTCAAAGAAGCGTATCTTGAGGTAGTGGTGCGAGCGCATCGGCCATCACCGCTGAGTAGCCCGTGCTTCGTCTTCATTGGGTGAATCAGTATCACTGGAAAGTGTATTTTAGGAAAATTTGGCGCCGGACAAGTGACTGGGAAGATTTTAATTGATCTGACATTTCAGAAATGTACGGGTCATCCATATGCATTGGGTGCGTAACCCATTAGGGCGTCAACCAATGCAGCCAGCCCCATCAATAAACCAGGGATGTTGGCGAAATGTGCCACATTTACGTGTCCTTAAAAACAGCCTATAACAAATTACAAAACACTATTCCTTGTGTTTCGATGTGTAGGATATGCAAAACGTTATAGCATATTGTTTTATTGGTTTTTCCGTTCCTAAAACAATAACTGTTCAACTGTCAGAGATTTCAGTACTAAATCCATCAGGGCATTGCATGCATAGGCTTAGATGTCCACTGAATTATATATATATATATATATATATATATATATATATATATATATATATATATATATATATATATATATATAGAGAGAGAGATGTAGAGAGAGAGAGATGTAGAGAGAGAGAGAGAGAGAGAGAGAGAGAGAGAGAGAGATGCTACGACACCAACTTGCATTTCTTTATTAGTGAGTACGGTTACATGCACACAATGTGATTATTGTGGATAGTCAGATTGATATAATAGTTATTTTAAAACGTTTACATGCTTTGCAAGAAGAACGATTTCTCTAATAATCCTGTTTACATGGACACATCTGAAATCAGGCTACCTGATGGAACTCTGATAAATGCAAAAAATCTCCAATCAAAATAAACGTCCTACCACAGCGCCCATGTTATTTTTGGGAAGTATATTTGATTCTGAGTTAGCACATATAACGTGTGTATGTGAAAGCTATTTCTAAGACGCATTGTTCCAAACTCACTTCAATGGTTCCGCTGGTGCTAGCACATGCTGTAGATCAAATACATCGCTGGAACACCGATTATGGGGTTCACATGTCCTAATAATTTGAAAGATTGCTCAGAAAACCAGCTATTTTAATCGGCATATGCTTACTTGGATTATGACCTTACACCGATTAAGATAAGCAGAGTAATGCTAATGCCATATTCAGCCTACTGCCTTAATCAGTTGTGGTAAACTGTGGGGTGTTGGGTTGAGCGCACAGAGATGGACACAGAGACAGGGAGGTTCTAGTAAAAAAAATACGACTTTACTAGGCAACAGAAAATAAAATAAACTTTACAACAAAATAAGTTAGGGTTGGCTCGGTCCTGCTCATATTTGGTCCTCTGGGAGCTTCGCTGTCGGCTCACTCCTTGCCTCGCTCTTCTTCTCTCTCAAGGTGTGCCACGGAGCTCCATTTATGTGGCCTGCACGGCTGGTTGGCACGCTCCCCTAATTACCCCTAATTGGTGCCATCAGCGTCGGGGTGCCCAGCCCGGGTACTCCCAGCAGAGGGAGCCAACGTCGCGGCACGTACCTCCCCTCCATCACCAACCCCCGGTGTAGACCTCCTGGGATACCACACAGTTTAATATCGAATTATTACTGTGCATGTAAGCGTACTCATTGTCAGATAGGCTATTGGATCTCCTATACAGATGTAGGCGTACAAAAGGAGGCTAATTCATAATTTTTTCGATACGCATATTGCTGAAATTGCAACATGTCTATGCGGCTGCCTATCGAATCGGTGATAGGCTTTGTAAAAAAAAAAAAAGGCTGTCCTGCTCCTCTCCTCTCTACCTAACTCCCCTTCACAGTCCTTTCAGTTTCCCTTAAGTCCCGTTAGTTTGGCTGCTCAATCTACCTAAATGATCCCTCACCCATCATAGCCCTGCCATTCCCAACTAATCAGAGCGCTTGGAAATCCGCCCACTCAGGTGAGACTGTTATCGTCGTCCGAAGGGACAAGACGAATGTTTCCGAGGACTTTTTATTGTCGAGAGGAACACGAATGTCTGAATGTTGTGCGTGCATCGAAATTCCAATAAAATATTCATATAAACATTCCCAAATGGAAGCAGCTGTGTGTGGTGGTGGTGACTATCAGGAGTACAGCGATGGGCCTCATCATCATGTTCTAACCGGACAGCACTATAGAGGGCAGAACCAAACCAATCAGTTAGAAGTACAGTGCATTCTGAAAATATTCAGACCCCTTGACTTTTTTCCACATTAAACAAAAAAGAGCAGAAGTAAAATAAAATAACAGTAGGGAGGCTATATATACAGGGGGGTACCTGTACAGAGTCAATGTGCAGCACTGGCTAGTTGAGGTAATATGGGTAGAGTTAAAGTGACTATGCATAAATAATTAACAGAGTAGCACCAGTGTAAAAAGATGGGGTGGGGGTGGGGGGGCAGTGCAAATAGTCCGGGTAGCCATGATTAGCTGTTCAGGAGTCTTATGGCTTGGGGGTAGAAGCTGTTGAGAAACCTTTTGGACCTTGACTTGGCGCTCCGGTACCGCTTGCCGTGCGGTAGCAGAGAGAATAGTCTATGACTAGGGTGGCTGGAGTCTTTGACAATTTTGAGTTTCTTCCTCTGAACACCGCCTGGTATAGAGGTCCTGGATGGCAGGAAGCTTGGCCCCAGTGATGTACTGGGCCGTACGCACTACCCTCTGTAGTGCCTTGCGGTCGGAGGCCGAGCAGTTGCCATACCAGGCGGTGATGCAGCCAATCAGGATGCTCTCGATGGGGCAGCTGTAGAACTTTTTGAGGATCTGAGGACCCAACCAAATCTTTTCAGTCTCCTGAGGGGGAATAGGTATTGTCATGCCCTCTTCACGACTGTCTTGGTGTGTTTGGACCATGATAGTTTGTTGGTGATGTGGACACCAAGGAACTTGAAGCTCTCAACCTGTTCCACTACAGCCCCGTCGATGAGAATGGGGGCGTGCTCAGTCCTCTTTTTTTTCCTGTAGTCCACAATCATCTCCTTTGTCTTGGTCACGTTGAGGTTGTTATTTTAATTTTATTTTTTTTAGTCATTTTAGCAGATGCTCTTATCCAGAGCGACTTACAGTTAGTGAGTGCGTACATTTTCATACTGGCCCCCCGTGGGAATCGAACCCACAACCCTGGCGTTGCAAGCGCCATGCTCTACCAACTGAGCTACACGGGACTACATCCTGGCACAGTTATTCTGGCACCACACGGCCAGGTCTCTGACCTCCTCCCTATAGGCTGTCTCATCGTTGTCGGTGATCAGGCCTACCACTGTTGTGTTGTCGGCAAATTTAATGATGGTGTTGGAGTCGTGCCTGGCCATGCAGTCATGGGTGAACAGGGAGTAGAGGACGGGACTGAGCACGCACCCCTGAGGGGCCCCCATGTTGAGGATCAGCGTGGCAGATGTGTTGTTACCTACTCTTACCACCTGGGGGCGGCCCGTCAGGAAGTCCAGGATCCAGTTGCAGAGGGAGGTGTTTAGTCCCAGGGTCCTTAGTTTAGTGATGAGCTTTGAGGGCACTATGGTGTTGAACGCTGAGCTGTAGTCAATGAATAGCATTCTCACGTAGGTGTTCCTCTTCTCCAGGTGGGAAAGGGCAGTGTGGAGTGCAATAGAGATTGCATCATCTGTGGATCTGTTGGGGCGG